TCAAAAAAGACAGATTGCGCGCCTACGGAAGATGTGTCTGTGCTCTAAGAATTATCGAAGAGTAAAGATATGGTCGATACAACCACGACTGGGTCTGAAACCGACTTGATTCTCCCGCGTACACATTTCTCGGGCATTAAATAATCCGTGTTGAATAGGTTCGGTGATTGGTTTGGACGCGATACTTACCAAGCTAATTCTTCAGTGGTTTTTAAAAGAGGGTCTGTCACCTTTCTTGTAAATCGGCACAATCACCAATTTACGCCATTCCCTGGGAATCTGCTCACTATTCCAAATAATACGGAGGAGTTTTGGTAACTCCGCCAAGATCACAAACAAGCTGCGCTTAACAACTATCCTTTCGAACGCCAACTGACCCCTCGAGTCTCAGCACATAAACGACTGTTAACGGGGATTCAGTCTAACAGGCAGCTTCAGCCTTGTCAGTCAAGACTATTCGTACACCACGTTGATCCGCAGTTCTAGCTACTTCGTCTCCTGAAGTGCACAGGAAATACCTTGATAAGTTACCAGGAGCAGTTAGTTGAATCACATTGCTCGAATCCTGGATACGCGTTTCACTTACGCATCAGACATCAATCTTCAGAGGGTCTATTGTGAGGGTTAGACACGCCTGCCAATTGGTCTGCGTGAGTGTACGCACGTTGAAGGAGCCGAAAGTCAAAGGTTGACGAAGCTTGAGAAAATGTGGGCTGCCAAATAGAAGATTGTTTTCGACACTATTTGACATTGAACCGTTGCTAGTATAGGGCGTGTGATTAGTGGGAGCATTCTCGGTGGATAGAGGGGGCAAAGAAAGGTGGCTGGGGACAGAAGACAATGGTTGAATAAAAGGGAACTGTGAGCAGTAGACCACTTATCACTACCCACCCCGTTCGACGCTATACGCAGCGCGGTCCTGATTAAACTGAACGACGACCGATGCAGTATGGGATTCTTTGTATTAGTGCAGTTCATGGTAGTTGTTGAACTGATGCTTCTAGTGGGTCCATCTGATGCGCAAGACAACGATTGGGGTTCTTAACCAAAGCCTTTATTTTTAACAAGAATTTGTCTGCAGGGCATCTGGGTAGCTGAGTGGTAGCCCATTCACTTGGATCAATTATTCTTCCCCTGATTTCACAGACTGACTTTCCAGCTCAAATCGACGCCGAACCTAGAGGACCAGGAGGCTGCTTCATCAGTCCTCTGCCCATTGGGCTTCCAGATATGGTTTAGTCTTTGGTTTTAGGTTTGTCAACCTGTATAGCTCGTTGGGTCGCCGAGGGGCACAAGCCATCACACCACGCCAAGGTGCAGCCTCATCCCTGTAAATCTTTCTATAATCAACCAGACTTCACTCCTTTTTCCGAAAACATACAGTATTCAGAATTTTTCGTCCCATTCTGGACTACGTCTCAACATTTGCAGATGCAGCCGGTTATCAAGAATACCCTCGTTTCCAGAGCCGACTCGGTCAGATACTTAAGCCCTTCGGTCAGCACCTGTTTACAGTGGTCTTATCATATTTTTGGCTGTTATAAAAACCACGCAAACTGTCTTCTCAAATTCGTGGGCTGAGGCAGTTTGTAGCCACACAGGCTGTCATTTTTCCTTTCGTCCATCATTGTATTCTCCCAATCGTGTGCTACTGCTCTCCCGTAATCTTTCCTGGTGTACTTCGTAAAGTTCTTATCCCACTACACCGTGGCCTTGTCAGTGTCAGTTGTGTTTTTTTGCGTTCCCATAGACCCCCTTATCTTCAAAGGTTGCGACTTACGCATTGTACCTTGTAAGAATCGCCATTAAGGTTTTTGTGTACTCCACCCATTCATTGTACCATGTCTTATCTGCATGCCGTTCGCATCCCTCCAGATGTTTCGCCTTTAGACTCATTACCTGTCGTATAAAATATCCTTATTTCGCACGTGTTCTGGTTAATTGAATGAAAGTCACAAACGAACTTCGCGAGAAACCCGGTGGCTGAGCCAGTTCTTTTTTACAGTATTTATTTTTTATGCTCATTTCAAAGTGACTGATCATCTTCCCTCCTTTTGGCTGAAATGTGAGTTTTTTTAACTTGCTCAATTCCTCAATACAATGCAGCACACTGATGATGTGAACTAAACGATAAACAAAGTTTGTAGTATATCTGCTCATAATGGGTGGTGGCGCTCTGAACATTGAGCGGAGCGCTTTAGGGTACAATTTAGATACTCGTCTCGCCGGCCTGTCACTCACGACTACTTGAACCCATGTGAATAATCGCTTTTATACGATAAGGCTTTAGAACGGACTCATTGTTCGGCATGAAATTCCTTATCAATGTTTGTTCGTCATAACGCCTCACAACTGACAGCGGGTCAATCTCGAAAGGGTGAGTTTTACGGTGAACTGATGAGCGTTCAGGCATCATCAGCAAAACCGATAACCACAACTCTTGGGTTTGGAATGAGCTCCCGATAATTCAGGTGCGATAACGAGTTGAATATATGTTCTGCAGTTGGTATCGACAATAATGCAACAAAATGCGAGACAGGAAGCCCGTTAGCTAGGCTTTATTCTTAACCAATTTTGAGTGTACTCTAAAGTAGAAAGATGGATATAATTAATCAGACGAATAGCGAATATAGAGCGACGAGTTCCAAGTAAAAGTACATAGCGGTATACCACTGAGGTTCGTCAGTAACCGGGAGGGGGTTGTGTTGAACCTTATATCTTAGATTTAGTAGTCTATGCTCACTTTCAACACTATATAGTTGTTATGAAAATCACTGAGAAATAAACCGAGTTAGCATTATATTCAAATTGTATCTAAACCTCGTTGAGTCTCTTGTGTTGTCAAATTGTGTGCTTCTCTATTAGGTCAAGGTTGTATAGACCAAATATTTACTCATCAACAGACTTTGAAACACGTTAACATTTCTGTAGGTCAATTACCCTGTTGTTCTGATCTTATTGAATAACTATAAATGAGTGATAAAAGTAATAATAGCAATTACAAGTGTATGGATAAACGAATAACTAAAAATTCATAATCTAGAAGTAAGTCTATGGTTTGAGATTGTGGGTGTGATTGCCTGCTCGGGTTGGAAATTTCGTGACCCAAAGCGTTTTGGACCTAAGTAAAAACCTAATAATTTCCAAGTGTACCTAAATAATCTGATCGACAACTTGCCAATTTTTTGTAGCAATTTTTATTGTCAGGGTACGATGCGCTTCTGAAATAGATGAATAGTACGACACCAAATTTCATCTCCTCAGAGAGGGCGTTAGCTGAAATGTCTGTTATGTCACTTGGATTGCTCTATATTACCTGGTTATCGGATGTCCGGTAAAGCATCACCACCTGTACAAAGGACTCATTTAATCCTTATGTACGTGTTACACCGCCTGACCGTTAGGGATCGAATGCGTGCTGCAAGTTAGATCAGTTACAGTTTGGTTCAGAATGAGACAAGGACTTCAGTTCCCTTGGGGCATTGCCTAAACTTGACATTACTTTGGCTAGGCGGGATGCTGTTTGCCAGAATATTGTCCCTATGCCTATTGTGATCTGAACAGGTTGGGTTCAGTTCGGTTCGAACAACGACTAACCATTCTCTGTGTACGCCACTTCTGTTTATTATCTCAGTGAGAACCTCGGTCGAAAATCGAGGCAATCATGGGTATGAAAAGTAAGGAAAGAACTGCAATTAATAGTGTCAAATAGATAAGGGAAATGTGTGAATACTGAGACACCACCTATCATGACTTTCGGCCATATCTTCCAATATAATTAAACATCGAGTGGATGGATCTCTTGAATCCCGACCCAGAAGTCTAATACGCTTTACATAGCTAAGTTCGCTGATTGAGTTTTCATGCCTTTTTCCCATGTTATTGACTAGTCACCCTTACTCATCTTCCAGATACTATTCACATCATCGAACATTGCGAGCTAAGATTATACTGGTGTGAACAGGTGTCGAGCGTATTCTCGGATCGACTTTCTTGGTATACACTAATTTTAGATTCAAATAGTTGCTGGGTAAATGACAAACTACGAACCCTGATGTAGGTTACTCTTTAGGGGATGGACCACATTTCAGTGAATCCATACGTTAATCAAATCACTTGCTTCCTGTTATACACTTTTTGGTTTACTCTAATGCCCAAGCTTAAGATAAACAGACCCTTCCCTCGTGCAAACTAATATATGTCAATATAAAGCTTCAACCTGAAAAGCTAGTTAGATCTGCCCATAACGTTCTGGTGAACCGTTTTATTTGTTCATTCGTTTTCTTCTGTCTTTTTCATGGACTGGTATTCTTAACCAGTTGGTCTACTGAATAAACACACCCTGATCTTATGTCTCGAAAAAATTTGATGGTCAAAACGCCAGCTCTCATACTATTTGGATTTGACCTTTTAAACACGAGTATTAGGATCTTTTCAACCTTTGATTCTTATCCCCACAAAGTCAGCTGCTAGTAATTTTGCATTCTGGCAGCCTCCTTCATCTAAGTCTCATCATCAAGTACAATGACCTACATTGTCTCACTTGCATATTGCAAAGCTGTTCCGCATCTTAAGCGCATCGTTCTTGTTCATTTATTCATTCATTTTTATGTAAGAGTTGTATATTATTTAAGAAAGGTTTCACGCCTAATGCGAAGCTGCCAGTCGGGCGTATTACCTTACCGCTCTGTTGCTGAGCACTTTTGTGGGTTCCTTAGAGCAGTGCGTATGGAACGGTTTTCACCATCGAGTTTTATTTGTTTCTCATTATTTTCAACGGTGAGCTTTATCCCATGATTTTCCTAAATTATGCCATATTTTTTATCGAAACCTCTCTAACGCCTTGCTGTTCCTTCCTAGTAGGTGCTTAAGTCACATCGTTCCTTACCAGAATCGTGACTTGTTTCACGAAATGGTTGCCATGCGGCTGATGTCCAGAATGTTATTCGTCGTCAGTACACTCTGATTGTTTTGTACCCATTAATAACGCCCGTGCAGTAATGGGTGCATTGCAATCCCTTTTGGACGCCCCTATTGATGGATTCCCTACAAAGACTCGGCGAAACTCGAAATGTTGTTGTCACGCTTGTGGAATGCAGTTCGATCGGAATCAGAAAGATTCCACGGTCAATCAGACCCTTTGGGTCCATGCACACTACTTGGCTGAGCTTTGTGGCATTTGGCTTGGCAGTCCAGATCCCAGTCAGCGTAAACATATAGGTGAGTGGTTGCTTGTTCACTCACTGTCCCAAACAGATTCATCATCACCTTTCGTCGCATTCCCGTCCACTACGTTGCCAAAACGTTCCGTATCCTCGTCCAAACCATCAGCAGTTGTTTCCACCCTGATTAAACACACTGATTTTACCAAGAACGAACGTTCCGCGCTCAAACACGGATTTTTTTCCACCATGGATATGAACACTGCCGGACTTACGGGCTGTTCTGGTTTGGAAGGTTGCCATATTCGAGGCTGCCTGTATGTGGAACACGGGAGTTTGGTCTTCCAGGCTGCTGACAGTTCACACCAGCTACCGTCAGTATTAACTAGTCGTAAGGGAGAATCATTTGACGCGCCGGGGACCATTTTTCCGGACAGTAAGTGTCAAACCACATCATACAAATTGACATTCAGTTCACATCAGATTGATAGTTCTAATTATCTGCCAGTTAGTAGTAAAGTGGTGTTACCACGCTTTCTCCCGAGACATTTTCACAGCCACTTTGTCTGCGCTCGATCACGAATCAACAAATGAATGTGAGCCATTAGTAGTGCAGAATTTAATGTGAAACTCTGTCCCGAAGGATACTCTGTGCACGTGGATGTTACTGTTATTTTTCTTCAGCGAGGTTCCCAAGGAGCGAAATAAATCCGAAACGACGAGTAGGTAGCTTTCCACATGAAGAAGGTAATTTGATAGTTCACTGATAAGTTGGGATTCTAATCTCATCATTATCATCGAGATCAAAATTGGTTTACGGGCTGAAACCATTTCTATTTATTGTGTAAATAACGAAAACCGAATGCAGACTTACAACGATGTTGAATCCTAACCCTGATTGTTTACTTACAGTGTTGCTTTGGTGCTCACGCGTTTCCTATCTACGTGATAATTTAATGTATTCTGGTAGTTTTCCCTCTTTACTCCTGTCTTTCTCTTACTCTTTTGAAGCCTTATATTCCCTTCATACAATTGCTAAATAAGAAAATAGTTTGGAAATTATAAAGTGCATACAGTTCTTTCCTAATTCTCAAATGCGAACCTAGGAAATAACAATTTCTTCTTATTTCAGGCCTACATGCACTGATGGATCAGTGCTAATGCAAGTATATCAGGAAAAAATAGGCTCTGCATGCCTAACGGGGATCCGCAAAGACTATTAACAAGCTGGGAGCGTTGGGCTTTTATCACGTACAACCATTAGGATATATGAAACCAGGTCAATCTGATGAAAAAACGTCATAGGATGTTCCACGATCAGCTAATTTCTGGGCATGCTTTGAGTAGCGTCCGTTCCTGTATTTGCATCCTACTTTTGTGGTCGAGAGGGAATGCAGTTTTTCTCCCATCTGCGTTCATTGGCCTTACGTTTTTAATCTTCATACAGTGTTTGACCGAGACTGCAACGAAACAAGCGCACTTAATACTTGAATAGCAATTATTGAAATTTCGATCAGGAGCCCGGTGAAAATTTTTACACTGCATCGGTTTTCGCACAAGAGTACACTGATCACTGTGCTAAGTGAAATGGGTAGTGTAAAGTGGTAAGCTACTGCTCAGCAGCTCATTTCATTCAGCTATTAATCTTGTTATTCAGTGCTTTGGTTTTGGTTGCTACTTCGAAGCAAAGTACTTAAAATCATGATTGGTGAGTAAACAGATGAGGTATATTAAAAATCATGCAAACGGAGTTCACTTCAGTCCTTTCAACCGTCAACCTTTTCATGCTTTATTTTAGGTTGCTATCTCCAAAATGAAATACATCAAACCGAGAAGAGAAAAAGTACTAGTAAAGTCGAAGGGATAACCACGTAACAATGTGAATAGTAGGAGATTTAGGTTGTTTATGCTGCGGCGCAAGCAGCATTTAACTCAGCATGGAAACCATGATAACTTTGTACACCTATTCCATCCAGATTGTTAGAATTCAACTGCAGTGCATATCCACATAGTCCCAATTGTGACTCGAACCCAGGGGTGCGTGGTTATGAGTCACACACATTCATCGAGGCTAATCAGGTGGGGGTGCTTGGGATGTGTTTTGCACATTTCCCCGGATAGCATTCCTCTGCGTGCAGTGTTCGTTGAGGCTGATAGTAGTTGGAAGGTAATTAGGGGTGATTAGTCCATGACACGGAAGAAGGGTATGAAAAACTTGACCAGTGAACTTGGCTATGTGGGGTATGTTGGGCTTACGGGTTGGGGTTCAAGAAATCCTTCCCACTCGGCGGTTCATCATAGTGGACGATACGGAAAGGTGTCAATCTGTAGCGCTCTTGTATTCACGCGCTTTATTTCTGCTGTTAATTTTTTCGTACCCTTGGTGGTTTTGATTTTCGACTGAAGTTTCTGCTGAGAGTGCAACCAGAACTGTCGCATACAGTGCATAATTATTGGTTGTTCAGACTGAACTGAACTGAGTAATACACGTTGAAATGGACCATCCTGGTTGATTTCGTATCAACACTACGTATGACACCTTCTAGGAACATCCGACGGTCACGTTTCTGCATTAGATTTTATCTTCATTTTCCTCGACTTACGAACTGGGATTTCTGGTTTTCTGAGATAATTCATTCTGCAATTGAGTAATAGGAGATTAGATTTGTGTAATATGATTCATCATGCAGCTTGAACTCTCAGCTCACCACTGAAAACCATGGGAGCTGTTTCATCCTTGTTGGGACTCATCAGCAGTGCACATCCACCGAGCCCCCACGGGGACTCGAACACGGGGTGAACGATTGTGAATCGAACACCTTAACCACAATGCTATCCGGGCTGGCTCTCAACGGTTTGTTGAACATCTACACTACATGATATAACACCCTTCCGTCACTGGCTTTGAACGGTAACAACCCGCTTCCCGCACAGCGATCGATTTTAGGGTGTATATAAAACAGTATGGAATCATACCTCCTCTAATTGTCAGCTCTGTGTACGAGGCTTATAACAAAAGCGTTGCCTTGAAAATATTTGTTGTGAAACTCCCAGCTGGTTTAGTGTTTCCTTGTTCATAAAGATGGGCTGTCTCCTTCTGCTCCACGTTTTGCTTCTCTAATTCAACACTGTCGGTCGTTTTCTTGAATAACTTGAATTAGCCCGATTCTGTCTGGTTCAGCTAGAACAATCATCAGTCAGGAACTAGACGCGGTAGTTTTGTTTACTATTCGAGAAAAACTCAAATAATAAATAAGATACTGAGTATTCACAAGTAATAAGGAGGAGAATTATCATCGTAGTTTTCGGCTAACAGAAAAACTGTTAGTGAGCGAATGCCACTGCTTTCTGAATTTTTTTGCACGCATATGCTAGTCGACATGCTGTCAACCAAACTGGTCTCATGTTTCAATGCAATGCTTGACTCGTTCACTAAGTCGCACTTTCTTGTTTTCGTAAATTTTGGGGTAAACTCGTCATTTTTCTGCATGTTCTCTTTTTGGTCTTAAGGGTTACCCTTGATTGTCCCCTAGGTAGGCAGAACCATTTCCATCAAACTGGTTGCATTTTCATACTGCGTTACCACTATTTTAGGTCCTCAGAGAAATTTAAGGGCGTGTGATACTATTGTTGGTAATCCTTTCTTACACTGCATGTTGGTTCGTTTGGCTAAATTATCCTTGGTCTACTGCCTATCCTCTAATCACCACTCGTGATGTGTGCATGCATGCCTGCGTCTGAAGTACAGTTGAGGTGCTGCCATAAATAGGATCACTCCCACGAATTCGGTCATGTGATCTGTGCACGTACCAGTGGCGTAACGCATAACCACATCCCTCCGCTGACCTACTGGCTGCCAAACTGATTGTTTGTGTTGCCTTTGATCGTCAGGCTCTCTTCACTTCTTCCCCTTTGTGTTCCTCATACGCGCGCAACTTTTCACCATGAAGCGTTTTAATTGCATTCACATGTCCCATCTCGAAAACAGGCGCGCATCGTTTTTCAGTGGTCGGACCACGGAACGGGTTTCATTTTGGTAATTCATCCATCACTCTCGAGACCATGCATTATCGCGCTCCGTTGCTTCGCAAGTGGGAAGATGAACAACATGAAAGCTTCACTCGGAGGAACTGGACATTTTCACTCTTATTCAGTCTCATAAAAATAGTGAGCTGATGTTGTGTGGGCACGGGATGCGGTACGCTAGGGTTGGGATGAAAGATGCGATGCACTTTTTCGGATGGCAGAATATTCATATTCCGCCGTCGTGAGAGCTCGCAATACTTCGGGCTCAAGTGCCCTCTTTTGTCCGAACTGTAGTACAGGGGAAAAAGTCAGATTTATGCTGTTCGAATATAGGGAGCATAGCCTCGTGGTTCACAACAATTAGGAAGTACGTGGATTCACTCGTTTGAGTACAACAGACAGGTCGACACCGCGTGTGGGATCTTAAAAGCAGTCACCCGATTTTGCGTGATTCAATCAAACGCTTCTCAGACAGTGCCTTACGTGTTTGGTCCAAGGCTCATTTTGAAAAACCATCGGTCATACGGACTAGGTTCGAAGATTTCCGCTGTTAATTCAGCAGTCGAAAGATAAGTGATGAATAGCGCGCAAATAACAAGGAATTTAAAACGTCAAGAAAAACTCTATATAGTTAAACGGTGTAAATACGAGAATGATGCGGCTTTACCGCTTATTACCTGGGGGAAAATAATTATTCAGATTCCATGGACCCCAGTCGGAAAGTAACTCGGTCAGGTTGTCTTTACCTTTCTGCTATGTGTTCGTTTTTCTTCTCCATTCCATTCTTTACGCACCAGTGCAGCAGAAGGGGTATTCTTCACAGCATCAAAGACCTATTACATCGTCAGGAATAACCAGTAACTTGACTCTGGAACTTCGAGCTTAGACCCATATGGAGGATTTCGGTAGTCCATGTCCGATAACGAGCTGAGTGTCTCGGGCTTGCCGTGTGCCACCAGTGTGACCGACGCTGGTGGGGTTCAGATCTCTGATGTGATAAATGCTTATACTGCTCGACCACCACCACTACCCGTGTCATTACAACGCGGAAACTCCTACGGAGGTTGTGCGCGACACCTATCCTTATCGCCGCAATTCGCCGACATTTCTCGATCTGATCTAGCGGCTTACCACGTGAACACGGTGCTGCACGCTAAACAACCGCGGAAGTTTCGCATTTCAAACAGATTCGAACTATGTTTCGAGGACGTCAGTAATCAAACGCCGGCGGCCTTCGTGCCTTCAACTCGAAACGGCCAGGTTTCCATGGCGAATAAGGGGAAAAATTTGATTACAGTGACATGCACTTATTCCGCTTCTGACGAACCAGTGGTTGTCAGTCTGATACTACGGCTAATAAGAGATTGACAAATGCTAAATGTACCTTCCGTGTGGGCAAACGCCCATTAT